TAAAGTTCATCGTACGGTCATGATTGTCCGGTAGTGTTTCATTTTTTTTTCTACAAATTAGAATGATCTAAAATTTGGAATGTGTGTTCATCAAATAGGCGAATCTATAAAAAATATCAACAAAATATTTTATATCAAATAAATTGACCAAAATATCCCCAAAACTTTTTAGGGGTATTTTGGTCAAAAATATTTCATGAATTATTTTTTTCTATTTTTATCATGTGCGCCTCACTAAGATGTATATATGCTCCAAATTTCAGATCATTCTGATTTGTAAAAAAAAATGACAATCATGATCATATAATGACTTTAAACGGTGATGAGGGTAAGCGAAATCACTGTTCATTTCCGCCGATAGGCGTTAGAAATATATATATATATATATAGGTTGGCCATGTGTGGCGTTGATCAAGTACAACACCTGTTAGGAGATGCGAGTTAGTTCAAGTGGAAATACTGATAATGGCAAGGGGTAGGCCCAAAAAGACGTGGTTGGAAGTAGTCTGAAAAGATATGGGGATTTATGACGTCACTAAGGATATAACTTTTAATAGAGCAAAATGGAGAACTAGCCGACCCCAATTAATTGAGAAAAGTCTAAAATGATGATAATATGATATCACAATTGGACATGAAAATAAATTTTAAGCCATCATAAAGATATTTTATACTAAAACAATATATTTCAATACTATTTGAAGGTGTGTCTTACTTTGATTGTTTAGGAGATATATATATATATATATATATATTACAAAATGAACTCAAAATTAATCACCACTAAAGATCAGTTTTTCTAAAGAAACACCACAAGGAATGTTCAAGAAAATGAATTGCATTAATAAGTTGCAATAGAGTTAATAAACTAGGAAGTCCATTCAACAAATTGCAAAGTACATTAATTATCAAATTGTCCATGCCATGAGCTGCTATGGGCAGACGAGCTACTAATTACATGATAATTCCCCATCATCATTACTTTGAATCCTGCCATGAGGTACAATGACCATGTTTGTTGGGTCACAAGAAGTTATATTGCCAAAACCAAAAGATTTTCTACTCTACTCCCACAGGAGTATACTATCTATTTACTCCCTCAAGTTTAACACCTGTTAAGAATACTTTTTAGATCTCAAAGTTTAGGGATGTAATCTCTACAACCAATAAATTAATATTACTAAAATAAAATTTATGTAGTAGAAAAATAATAATTTCAAATTCAATAGTGATAACAAAAAAAAAAAACCATAATTCAAAAGGTCTTCACTATTAGTACGCAATTTCCATGGGGAGTTTGTAGTAGAGGGTGTATGTTGAACAAGCAAACCAAAAACAAAGAGATAAACCCAATCCAAAATGCATACATAACATTTGTTAATAGAGAAATTTCATTCGTTGATACTCCATCCTTACTCTCTTGTTACTAAACGATAAGAAATTACATTAAGGAACCACAAATATTGAAAAAGGATGATAGAATTGTTATGCTATTTTCTATACTTATTACAATTATTAAAGGTTGCAGCAATTCTTAATTATTAATTATAGGCAGTAATTTCTCCTAATAACATTAAAAAGAAATGATTACCTCATCCTTAACTAAATTTAGAAATCCTCTGTAACTACATAACAGTAACATATTAATTTCCCTCATCACTAACAAATTTCTGATTACTGCTAACCGAACCCTAAAAGAAAGCAATAAACAAGCCCAAAAACACAAATATAAAGTACTCAAATCCAAATCTTACGATTGGAAAGGGCATGAAGTGGTTGGAAGGTCAAACCTTTGAACATTTATTTTTGTTCTTTAGGGAAAGTATATAAAGAGACCATTTATTTTTGGTATAAAAAAGTCGCAATCACTCTGATGATCAGATTTCAAATCGGGTGGTTGTGAATTTGTCATTGACAATATTCAATATTCAAAGAAAATCTTCTCGAGTTTTGTGACAACTCAAGCTATCCAATTTGAAATCGCATAGCCAGAGATATTTGTGACCTCTTTGTGACAAAGGTAAATGTCCTATAGTATACAATCCCTATTCTGAAATATTGTACTATGTAATTCAAAGGTTACACCTTCAAACCACTACGAACCCGAATCTTGTGTCTTTTCTTAATTCATGTATTTTCCTTTCTTTTATGGAAAATTGTTTCATGCGTGTTGGATTGCATAACTACATATGCAGTCAAAAAAATGTATAGCATCCATCTTTAGGTGTTCTATCTAAAAACGATGGAAACTAACGGTCCAAATATTTTTTTACTAGAATTATTAGTTCTAGTTTTCCAAATTTACTTTTTTTTTAAATTCATAAACTTCATGTTAGAGATACAGTACATGTCCTAAAAAATCAAGTCCAAAAATCAATCTAAAAAATATATTTATTAATATGCCGGCATTTCTACAAGTGCGGGCATGGCCGCATAGAAACCGGGTCCTCCTTTTATATCAAAAATACCTAAAACAAAGTTGTATGTCTATTGTTTGTTTGAGTGTTGAACTTCGTATCATGAATACGAAAGGCAAGAATCTTAGTGTCTGGTTTGTAGTATTTATTTTTGTTTATTTATAATAAAATTCTTAAAAATAGTCCTCCTCTCTCCCCTTCCTTGATACCAAGAAAGGGTAGAGAGGCCCTGATATCAAGAGAGGAATACTATTCTGGTTCCAAAAAGGGGGGTGAAATGACTATTTTTGGGATTTTTTATATAAAAAAACAAAAATTAACATGGCAAATCAAAGACTATGACTATTTTTTTTGTGGTAGTTTTGATATCTATGACTATTTTTTTTGTGGTAGTTTTGATATCAAGGGAAACACAGAGACTAAGCATAGATGTGGAACTCTGTTTTTGGCTTCTTCTTTTTTTAACAAAAAAGAAGACAAAAAAAAAGAAAAAGAAAGACGCACAACTATTTTTTTTTTACCTCTAGATTGTGAACCTTTTTTTTTTTTTTTTTCCATACGAGGTTACCTCTGGATTGTTGTCCTAGAGCTTATCTGTCGTTGTTGGCATATTTTTCCCTTAATTCTAGTGTTTGTTTTTTTTTTAGGAATACTACTCTGCTACCATGACAGGGCTCTAATATAGATCCCTTAATTCTAGTATATTTTTTTAGGAATAAAATTGTCAAAACATTTAACAATTTACACATTTTTCACTATTTGAACTGGAACTCATGATCACGTGTCTTTTGATGGACAAACTATAAATTAAAGGAAAAAGTTTATATAAGTGCAAGCCTCTAAACAATCAAATTTGAACGCACCTCAAAAATTTCACTGAAAGAAGTTGTTTTGATACTCAAATATCCTCAAATTGATCACGTCAACCTCAAAATGCATGGATATGAAAAAAAAATGGATTTCAAGTTTTGAAAATAGTGCATCTTGTAATCCATTTTTAAACCGTCAATTTTCAAATCCTCATAGATATGTTCGACCTATATTATTTTTGAAGCTTTAAATTGTATAATTAGATTTGAGAACATATTTTAAAGCTATCACAAAAAGGAAGGTTTCTATGCTTCCCCTACAGCATAAAAGTTCTATCATCCTCTTACCATCCAGCCGTCCAATTTTGATCAAGAGAGCCACTCACCGTTTGATCATAGATCCAACGTCTCAATATTTTATTTTTAATTTTTTTTATACAAATTGTATGAATATGAAATTTCGTATGTACCATCTTCTCAATGAAGCGCACCTATAAAATATCTTAAAAATAATTTTTTGAAAAATTATAATGACCAAAATACCCCTTGAATCTTTCAAGGGTACTTTGATCATCTTATTTTATTGAAATTTGTTTTTTATATTTTTTACTAATACAAGTTTAATAGAGAAATGAATGTCCAAAATTTGGTGTCAAAATAGTTTATAAAAAAAAATTAAAAATAAAATAATGTAAAGATGTGACAATGTGATTTAGGCAATCTTAACCCTCCATTCAAAATGGACGGTTGGATAAAAAAGAGAATAGAAATTCTATCCTGAAAGGGAAGCATAGAAAGCTTGCCCATCACAAAAATTTCCAGTATTGAAATCACATTTCTCGACACTATTTGAAGGCGCCTTTTACTTTGTTTAGAGCTTTGGCTCCATACAAACCGCACCCAAAATTAAATAATCTTTTTTACATAAATAAAAAAAGACATGCAGGCATCCACTTTGAAACGCCCACTGCACTTTGTAATGGGCAAAGACAGGCAATCCCGCTTACTGAAAAAGATAACATACAGTTTGAGCTTGAACATTTGAACCGCTCAACATGTTTCGAAGGTTCAAAGACGAACCTTCGCACTGCTGATCTATAGGGCATACAAGGTGGTTGAAAGAATAAACCTTCAAACTCTCCCAAGACGGTTCAACAATTGGATCTTCCCTAACCGCGCTTTACATAAAAGAATTTGGTTCGCAAGTTGCACCTTTGAATTGATTTGTAACTGGAAAGAAGGTTGCATCTTTGACTTGATTTATAACTTGGAAAAGGATATTCAAGTTTTGAACCCTCAAATCGCTTAAAATAAAGGGAAAAACATAACAATGCCTCTACATCACTATCAACCATCCCCAAATATGGATATTTTTTAATTCCAAAAATTAATTTGAGTCTGTACATAGATTTTTCAAAAGAAGAAAACTCAGTAATTTCTTTTCAGTGCCTTCTAACCGTATATTTGCCTTAAATCGGCAACCCTAGGTGATAGTGCCCCTACATCAGCAGGACAATCTGAGACGTAGCTCACCATTAAGCTCTATACAGTGCTAAGGCTTTATAAGTCGAATCGCTTTCAGAAACTTGAAACCGGTTTGTTATATGTTCAACCTGGGCCTCCAATTTCAATGGTTGATGGAAATTCTTTTGTGACTAGGTCAAGCTTACGGAATCGAGAGAGAAAAAAGACTGGGCCATCAAGTTCTGAAACAATTAGCCAAAAATGAAAAAGAAAAAAATTAGCCAAGAAACAAAAGATTATACAGGAATTCTCCATATTTAGATGTCATGAACCACAAAACCATGGTTTTCTAGCAAACAACAGACTAGGACATAATCATCACCAGCTCAACCCTGCTTAAAGGCATCCACTTTTGATGCCCAACTTTATGTGGGAGACAGAAAATACCGGTATTGAGACGTAGATAGATTTGGTCAAGAGTGAGCTTTTAGTGAATGGGGTGATATTGGTCTGAGACACGCTTTGGTGGCAACTTCCGGAGGATGAAAAGGACCAGAGCTGATGGAACAATCTCTACTAACTGTCAACCCAACAATTCGTTTATTAGCACAGAACATTCTCGACATATCAAATTGGACAAACGAATATGAGGCTCTCTCTTTCTCTCTCTCTCTCTCTCATCATATACATGCAACATGCAGACTGGTATGATACAGTAGCTGTGTAAATGAGCTTTACATTCAGTTTAATAGGCAGTGCAGACATAGTTTGGTTGATCTGGAAATCATGTACAAAAGAGAGGTGCACTTGCATCTAAAGTTCGCTAAAGACATTACAAATTAATCTGATTTACAGTGTGAAATAAATACATAGGAAGACATTACAGATAGAGCCATGAAGCAATTGGAGAATGAAGATGCATGAGAAAATGGAATGGATGACCAAAAGGAAAAAAGAGCTACTGTTCTTCAATTTAGAAGAACTAGAATATCAGCAACTATAGATAACATATAATTGAACATATCCATGTAAAATTGGAGTAATAGAGAAGAATACCAGGCTGTAATGGTCAGAGGTATAAAAATTGTTGGTACCAAATGTAGTATCTAAAGCAATGCATGAACTCATGCATATGTATAGACATGCACCTCAGGGATAAATGGATAAATGATTGAAAATGCATGCTCACCGTGTAATATATGAGATTAAGAATAGGATGGTTGAGGACATCAAGGTCCACATCTTTATCAAATGCAGAAAAGGCGACCTGCGAATGCAATTTATGTTAGGGCCACAAAATCCACAGTAATATGTTTTCAAATTAAAAGTAACAGAAAATTCGAACTCACCATAAAGCACCTAATCAGGAAGCAAGTGCAGCAAATTGCAGTCACAAAACCGACCTGCAAAAGAGATGGCCCTATTCTTAATGATGAGATAAATGGAAATAGAAGGAACAGAGTGAGTTCTTTAATAAATTCTCACTTATGCTCAGCTTGTAGGAAGGTTCAGGTCTAGAAACAAGCAAATGTGAAGAGTATACTTTTCCTGGATTGCAATTGCAGTTATTCTGAGACGGAAAGAGAATGCAAGGGATATGATCCAATGGCCCAAAGGAAGATTAGGAGAAAATTCAATGCCATGTAACAATGGCACACATTGGGAAGGTATTTGACATGAGTGATGATGTCACACATGTTCTACATGTTCTAGATGCGGGCACCAGTAGCATATGCACTATCTCATCAACAAACTCTGTGTCATCTGTTGACGTGTCAAAACATTACCATACCATGTACACATACTAGGCACATGTGCTTAAATATCAGGAAATAACTTGTGTCCATCATTTAAAGCACACTGTCCAGAACCCTTCTCGAGGAAAGCTAATTGTATTAAAGAGTTAGACAAACTTCATTCAAGTATATTATTGCGTGTAAAAATTGGGAAAAGTCCTCCCACAATCAAAAGATGCAGCCAGTCTCACACTATGACAAAGACAGCCAGAAATGAGGAAAAATGGAGGGTGGCTTCACACTTCAAGGCGTGTTGAGCATTAAAGATGTACGGAGGGCCCGATGTTTTGTGAAGCCGTTTGCAATGGTATTGACCTCTCACCAAAAATGATGATATGTGGCAGTGAGCGAGGAACTTCTAGGATGTATCTCTTAAAAAATCTGGTCTAAATCTCCATAGGTGGGTAGAAACTCTATTAGCACAACTGATGGTGTTTGGAGTCCCCTTCAAACACTAATGGTGGCCTCAGCTTCCATCAAATAGCTTTAGACTTGTTAGGAGAGAACATGATTCATACAATTTAGCATCCCAATTTAGTAGGAAGTCTGAGGTGATGTAACTTTTGAATCCTTCAAGCCATCTGGCCCATTTCAATCACCACCTTTTTGATGTTCTTCATAACATTTAAGATGGCTCTCTCCATGGCTTCGAAAGTCATCAGGTTTCATTTTAGCCATGTATTATAACAAGGCGAGATTGTTTAGACCAGGACTGAACCTTGGGGTTCAAACTTGATACCCCCTGAACACTTCCAAGACCTCTGTGATGGACCATGTTTGATTTGAGGTCACGAGAATAAGAATGGGAACTGTTCAGCGATGCTCAAATTCCCCAGCCATCTGTTCAGCCATAACCATACACTTTCCCTAGTTTTTGGTAGCAATCGAACTACAGTTGCGAAGTTATTGCAAGCTGAGAGTACCCCTTTCCATGCTGCAGACATACCAAGGTTGGCATTGATCTTTGGCAGCCAACACGACACATTCGACCCTTATTTTTGCTGAGTGACCACCTTCCAATGATGTGTCTCTTGGGTCACATGGCACCAAAGCCATGTCTGCACTATTGGACATACATGTCTACATTATTGCATGTACATGTCAATGATTAGACATAGATAATTTATTTTTATTTAATTTTATTAATAAAGAGTCAAAAATTAATTCGTATATAAACATACATGATACAAATTAATTATATATATATATATATAGGGAGAGACTACAAAATGCCTATGGGCAAAAATGAACAGTATTTTCGCCCATAGGCTAGGCGCAGTCCGATTTTTTCAGACAGCATGGATTAAAGACCGTCATGGACATAGTGACGGGATTTTTTTCACACAAAAATTGTACGATGGCCGCCATGGCTCCCGTAGGTCCGTCGTGGGCGAATACTGTAGCAATTAGCCTATAGGCATTTTTTAAACTTTTCCATATATATATATATATATATATATATGTCCCTTCCT